ATATCTCAAGTTGGAAGGGACCCACAAGGATAATCGAGTCCAACTTCTGAGACCACACAGGACCACCCAAAATCCAAACCCTGTGTCTGAGAGTGGTGTCCAAACACTTCCTGATCTCTGGTACTTGGGGCCATGCCCACAGCCCTGGGCAGCCCGTTCCAAGCCCGCCGCCCTCTGGTGCAGCACCTGTCCCTGACCCCCAGCTGCCCTCCCCTGATGCAGCTCCATGCCGTTCCCTCGGGCCGTGTTGCTGTCACACAGAGCAGAGCTCAGCGCTGCCCCTCCACTCCCTGTGAGGAGCTGCAGCCGCCATCAGGCCTCCCCTCAGCTCCTCTGCTCTGCGCTGGACCGACCACGGGACCTCAGCTGCTTCTCATACACCTTGCCCTCCAAACAAGGCCTTTCCATTTACTTCAGTGAAGACATCTTAAACACCAAAAACCTCTCACAGCTTTGAAAAAGATTCCTCCAGGTACAATAATATATGTCCTGTGGGCAAGGAAGGGAGAGAAAAGAGACTTATTTTGTTTGCATATGTACTTGATAAATACCATTAATAAGAAGAGTCAAGTAGTTCAAAAATAGGGGGGAAATAGGCTTATTAACCAAATTCATGATTTGGTTTGATGACTACTTGGGGATTCTGTGTTGTTTCCTTTCCTTGAACAATATGTTACAATGTTTAACACAGTTCTTGTATCTTTGGGAGGTTTTCTAGTAAGCTACTTCAGACTAGTTAGACACAACACTGAGACTTTAGAAATGTTCTTCTTTTTAAAAGCAAACCTCCACAGACTGCAGTAAGTTTATACAGATACAATTGCTATAGGAAAATATAACAAATCAACCCAGAGGCTTCCAGGAGGTTGGCCAAAGTGCTCTTGTGCCAGGGTAAAGAAGCAGCAGCTGAGGAGGAGAAAAACTGGAGTGTAAGCCATTGAGGAGTTCTGGTGCTGTGTTACTTCTGTAGCGCGTGTGGGAGCAAAACTGGTGGCTGTGTTTGCACTCCAGTCAGCAGGTGTGAGTGGGTATGCACTGTTATTATCAGAATAAAACTATGTTTAATTTCTGTGAAAAATAATGTAGGGTCTTGCAGCAAAATTGTGTTGTTGCTAGCCCTAGGCAATGGGATGTGCCTTTGCTGCAGGGAGAAGTGGCTCTTCCTTCTGGCAGGCCATACTGTTGCTATGCAAGTTTTAATAAATGAGTGTGAATTAATGTTATGTGCTCTGGAGCTGAACTAAGCATGTGTATTTCCTTACCCAGCTATCTTTTCCTGCTCTTCTGTTCTATATGGATAATGTGCTGCTAAAACCATGCCAGTGTAGGATTCTGTACAAGTGACTTCCCTATCAAATTCTATCATTTGTGGTTTGATATTCCCCCTGGAACAACAGACAAAGGCAAACGGCAGGCTAATTGATTCAGCGCTCCCCCATTGCTTCTCAGCACAAGCACTTAGCTCTAATAATTGTGAAGAGAAGAATTGATGCTGAGCTATAAACTGGTGACACAGAACTCAGTAAATGGTGTGTACTCCACAAACTGCCAGCTATTCAGTGTATTGACATATATTTTTACTCTTTCAATGCATTTTTCCAACTAATATCTGTAACTAATGTAGTTTCCCATGTTTCAGTGGCATAATGTTCACAGTGGATAACTATGGAGTGGGAGAAGGGGTTTGTTTTGTTTTTCCCCATAATAAAATCATGCCCTCAAGCTTCTACAGAGCAGCAGTATTTCAATGCACTCTGGAATTGTGGTTTAATATGCATAAATATTCCTTTTCCCCGTTTAGAACCAGTAGGACCATATACTAAAAGCTCATTCCATTACCATAATTCCACCCAATGCAAAAATGCTGTTAATTTTCATACTAAACAAACAGAATAGTTATACGGACCTTGTCTCTGCATGATGTGAGCTGACAGAATTGTATTTCTCAAGAAAATTGATCAGCTAAAGTAATATCCTAGTATCTTGAAAGTGTCCAGTACATTGCTTTAAATGGATTTCTTTTTTAAGTAAGCATCAAGATTTCTATATCTACATGCCTATATCTACCATATACCTCTAAGAAATGAATATTACTTTTGCCATTTGTGTAAAGCAGCAGGATGCGGCACATTCTTTGTTAATTTTTTGTTCAGCTAAACACAGTTCCAATTTAGAAAAAGAGGAAATACTATGATCTCATTGCCCAGTAAAAAAATTACATATTCATATACAAGGAAAAGCATTTCTTTTCATTGATTTCCACACAGAAGTTATGTATTTCTACAGAGCTGATGTCTTCTGCTTAATGTTATATTCTTCCTCTGTTGTATTGGCAGAGAGCTTTCTCCCTTTCTGTCTAGAACACAATTCTTTTCTTTTCTTTCCAAAATTTTCTGATTGTTTATGCAAACAAATAAAAAATTGAGAAGTACTTCTATCCATCTATGCCCAAAGCTCTTACCAGACCTTTGTCTTTCTTGTTGTGATTGATGGGAGCTATGAGAATTAACTTTCTTTCCTGGTTACCTGCAACAATAAGCAACTTCCAGATCTATTGTCATGTAATAGTCTCAAACCCTAATCACATTGTAAGGATGATATTACCAAACTAATTGTTGACTCTTTGTACCAACCACACAACATATGTTCATTCTGGGACATATGCTGTGTTTTGATCTAGGATTATGCGTGCTTTGGTATGAATCAACTTTCAATATGTCCTTTGATTTTTATGTTGCAGAATACTGATCAGGGATCAACCTGATCCTTTTCAGAACATATCTGTGGACCTCTGGAAGCAGCAAGGTCTTGTTCTTGTAAATACGTGTTCTGCTTAATAGGAGACATTTTTGAGTTGACAGCAGAGTATTTATCTGGGATTCAGTTATCTAAAATGCCACTGAATGCTTCCTATAAGATACCCAACCGCTGCTTTGCCTCTTGCTGTAGCTTTCAAAGAGTGCAGAACTGCAGATCTTGTCATCTCTACCACTCAAATATGATTGTCTGAGATTTTCTGCAACATCTCAAATGACATAAATCATCTATGCTTAAGTAACTGAATTTTTTAGTAAGTGTAAAAAGCATAATTTATGCATATTCCTTTAATTATTTGAAGCTTGAATACCTCAGTAATTTTATCCCTCTTGCCCTTAATATTCACATTTTTTTGCTCCAAAATTTGCTTGCTCCTTATTTCCAAACATGCACAGTAAATGAAATACGCTCATTTTTGTGTTTGTTACTTTCTATAACAAAGTAACTTACAGCAGCACTGATAGGAAACTTGAGTTATTTGCTGTGTAGCTCAACTTAAATAAAGGAAAATATCAGTGGTGAACCTCAACCTGTTTGGCTTTTTTGAAGGTGTATATAGAGGGCACATGATTCACCATGAGGGTACATTATGGTTGGTATAATCCATGTTTCAAAAAAAAAAGAAGCAAAGTTTTATTTGGGAAGTCTTCATATGTTCATTTAGCTGTAATGTTTATATGTAAGATTATGGAACAATTTTTGATTTTAAAATTGAATTTCTCTGCACTGCATTCTGAACTGTATACCTGATCTCTTCTGAAAACATTTTAAAATTAAAGCCATGGAGTTTGGAAAGACTTTGACAAGACTGCCAAAGTTAGGCTTTTCTGGGATAGCTTGAGGGAATGCTTTTGTTACATATCTTTGCCCATCAGATATGAAAATGCTATGCTCGGAACTGTAATTAAAGGAATTTTTTTTCCAAGACTATGGTGGGTCTAATAAATTTAAATGGCAAATGTAAAATATATTGAGAAGAAACAATAGATCTCTAGCTAGAAAGTAAAAAATCAAAGCTCACTTAGATTTTAATCTCAGAAAATGCATGTATACGTTTTAAACCTAAATAATCCTCACTTGTATTTGTATTAGTTCAAAAAGCAAACAAACCCATAGTTGCATGAATTTTAAGAGGGATGTTTTCTTTCTATACAGGATCAGCTGTGAAATACCTGTAAGGTGATGAAAACAAACTTATCATTGCCTACATTATTAAATGGATGCTTGCTTGATGTACTTGCAGAAACAAATTATTCTGATTGTCAGCTTAAATTTATTGCAAGTTTGGAGAATCTTAACTCTACTTTTATGCAAGATGCAGAGCTCTCCTTTCAGATGCAGCTTCAATGCTGGCACTAACGTGAGCCAGCTGTAATGATGTCTCTCAATCTCTGTGCCTATGCTGAAAGCTGAAAAAGTGGATCAAATCATAGAGCTCTTATTTATCAGTGCTATCTTAGATATATCACAAGTATTTAATTTCAAATGGATGGATGAGATAATCTGAGACGAATCTATGCATTTAGGCAATGAAAACATGGGCTTTTTCAATTGGAAGGGTGACACGTGCAAAGCTTCTGATGGTAGCAAAGTGGAGAGAGCCTGTATCTATACTCCTGGCTTTTGCTGGCATCCCTATATTGACAGGTGTTTGGAGATCTGATAGAAGCTCTGGCTTAGCAGTGTTAGCTGTCCTACCACTAATTCTGGTTCCCCAACTGCCCTGGCCTGACATGAGTGCTTTCAAGTGGCTTATCTTGGTAGTACTGACATAAAATTCAGCTCTACTGGTACAGCTTCACCTCTACCACTCTCTTTTTGATTTGCATACAAAACTCTAAACTGCCTTTACAGTAGAGCCATTTGGAATGCATTATGAATATTCAAGAGGTGTATTTTTCCATTAAAATCTCATTTTTTTTTCCATTCCTCCTAGAAATGCTGGGATTCTTCATTTGCAAAGTATGCAGAAAACAACTTCCTTCTGGTTACAGCTGTGTATTGTATGGCTTGGATAAAAAGCAATCAAAAACATTTAACTGTATTTTGTAAGGTCTGTTCCAGTGAAACCACTGTTAATTTTGCAGAGTTGTTTTTTCTTTTTTTTTCCTTAAACAGACAGCTTCTTTTATCAGCCAAAGAACAAGTCATTTGATTAATGATCATTTTTATCTCTTTGAAAGGATCCTTTCCGACCATTGGGGTGAAGTCTCTTTCGAGATTCCTGAGGGCGGGATTTTTAAATAGCATCCTGACCTCACATCCAGTCTCAGGGGGTGGATCTTTACCCCCCAGCATTTCCTCTGGTAGGTATTCCAGCCTTTTTCCCCACATTGATTTTTCTCTTCACCCTCTAAACCATCTCTCCACAGCTCTCGGGGAAACAAAATGTGATATTGTTTACATGGGGAGATCAGATGTCCCTTCGGATAAAAAGTAAAACTGGAAAAGAGAAGTTACTCTTCAAGGACTAGCTATTTCCTTGAATCAGTGTATAGGAGAAAGTGTGAGGGATAGTAGTCAACCTAAATACTGCAAGAGAAAGCCTGGTGTCCTTTAATCAAGTGCTTCATGAAGCATACCTGTGTACACCAGGGAAACAGCACTTTAAAAATGCCTCTGTAAAATCCCATCTTTATGTGACTCTGTGACTCTTCTCTAAAAATTTGCATTTCCTTGCTAAAACATGGAAGTAAAACAAAAATTTGAAAGGAAAAATTTTATTAAGTAATGCGGTTTGAATCTTTTGTATGCTTCCACAGTTGTGACTTCTATCTCTTGAAAACTGCCTTAATTCTTAAAAATGACTTTTATAATAATTTGCACTATTTTAATTCTCCTTTACAATAAATGAGAAAATCCCATGGTTTCTGTTGTCAGCACAGTGCACCACACCATCTCTTGCTAGGTCTCCAGTAGTTCTATGGGTCTGTGGTGGCACAGAGGACTTAGAGGGTTGGCTTGTGGTTGAACACAGGCTAATAAACTAAGAACACAGTGCCAGGTAAATAGGCTGCTCTCTGGTACTGGGCTGAAGCAGGAAATACAGATAGGCTAGAAGCATTCCCAGGAAGATTTTTTGTGTTCTCCATTCTTCTCTGGAGCCATTAAAAACCATCTGTCACCAAAGTTAATAAACGAAGAGTAAATAAAGGTATCTTAATCATGGTTAAAATTGAATTAAAGTTCAGTTCTGTTCCTCTCCAAACTACATATTTATATGCAGAATTAATCCATATGTGGGTTAATGTCGTATCTATGTCCTTTCAGGACCTCTTACCAGTAATATTACTTACAGTTTTGGTTAAAGAGAAAAAATTGTCTTATGGTACAATTAGGAGGCGGTCTGAAGGATGGCATATGTGGTATTGATTTGCTATACAAAAGAAAATGCTCTACCTCTCTGTGCCTTGTTTTATCCATTGTGATAATTACAAGCCTCATCAGTATATGTTACTCAATGTGGGATTTATTTATTTATTTTAAGTGCTACTATTTCGTAGTTTGCTTTCTTTCTTTGAATAGAAGCTTCTGAGCAACTTTTGTGTCTTTTCATTGACTCTTTTAGTGTCTTTTGTCAACAGTCTGTAAAATGCTTTTCATATTTTTTCTCCTGAAGATATTTCATTATTTAATAGTCATTAGGCAATTTTGGCAGTCAGCATCACAATGAGAATGATATCTGTCACAAAACAGCTCTGTGGAAGAAGAAATACTCCCAGCATCCTCCCTCCCCTGAATTCTCTGTTTTGAATATTGTGTTATGTGTAGCATATCATTGATTCTATTAGTTTAAATATGCCTTAACTGCATTAATAAATTGGCTTTTCACCTAGCTACCTACAAGTTTTTCTTGTCTGTTTGTAAGATCCTCAGAACTGCTGTTTTTCTGAGTGTTTGTAAAACTTCACGTTTTGGACTTAAGTTATAACTTTTAGTGTGATTACTTAGTAAGAGTGTTTCATAATCTCTTGCTATTAAAATATTCTTTTACTAAGAATTCGATCTGATGAAATATTCAAAACAGGGAAAACATAGCAATTTAGCTACATGTTGAGCAATGTATGCCCTAGCAAGGTGATGAAAACAAATGCTTGTTTGATCATGTCAATAACGAAAAAGAGCCCAGAACCAACCCCATAGAGAGAGACAAATGCTGCCCATCTTTTGCAAAATGAAGAATATCAGGTAGTTCAAAGCCAATAAGGAACTGTGACAAATCCAATGGAAGTTTTGTGTTTCTTTGAGAAAGATTGTGGGTGAGGGAGTAGGCAGGTGGCAAGAAACTGCACATTAAAAGTCAGAAACTGCTATTAACATATGTACCCTAACAACCTTATCCATAGTACTTCTCTTTAACTCTTCATTTGTTCCTCTCCTGTCGACAGTTAAGCACAATCTTAATTCTGTATTGCCTCTTTTTGTTGCAGTGATGACCAGGGGATGCCACTTTCAATGCATACTGACTTTCTAAATTATAAAATCACCTTTGCTGCGTGTGAACCAAAACCCAATACACTCGCTGTATTTTTTTGAAGGAAAAACAATTTCCTGTTGAAAGGAGTACTGATATGAGATGTGAGAGAGTCAGAACTTACTCTTACTCTTTATGATTCAGTAGAAAAGTTCATCCTTGAATAGTAGTCACTTGAGCACAAAGAGAAGAAATGTACCCTTTGTCCCTTCCTGTTGAAAAACATTGCACTCAGTACCTGACCTTTTTTCTGAACAATGCTTTACCAAGAAACAGATATCCAGGGCAACACTGCCCACAGCAAAGGGGTTGGAACTGAATAATCTTCATGGTTCTATCCAACCCAAACCATTCTGATTCTATGAATTCCACCATAAGGTTTTCAAGGACTAATACCCATGCTATTATGGCAGTCTCTGGCTCTTTGAACAGTAATATGTGGGCAAAATCATCTGTCCACTGGAGTCCTGTTGCTTCCCCTGTCCCCAGCCTTTACCCTCTCTTACTAAAAGTGAGAGAATTGCTGATTTTGTGTTTGTACTAGAGGGAAGAATGTTTGACTGCTGCCTTTGGTAGTGCTGTGACCTCACCTCCATTATTTGAGATTGTTGGGCTCATACTGGACAGTACCTGTCATAAGCCTAACAAAAGTACTTAACATTTAATAATCCTTGCTGAATTATACCCTAATTGCTTCACATATAGCTTCTGTGTAAGATTTCAGTGAATTAAACTATGTGGAAAGCTTAAAATGCCTGCATTATTCTGCTATAAGGGTCATGGGGAACAAAGATGTGAGATGGTTTTATTTACTAAAACATTTAACTCAAACTACATGCTAGATTTACTCCAGAATAGTCCAAATAGGAAAAAAATGTTTCTTATTAAAGAAAAAAAAAAAAAAAAAAAAAAAAAAAAAAAAAAAAAAGTAAGAAACATTTAAAGCAATTTTTCTACAGAATTTCCCAGATATGTTGTAGAAGTTAAACACTAAGAACTAAACTGGGAAGCCTCCCAAAGAAGTACCTGGAAAACATCTTGGCAGAGCAGAGTAGCACTTGTTTTATGTTTTTCCATTTCAGGCAAGGGGAGGAGGCAGTGAGTTTATTTATACTGTTGCATTGACAGCCAATGTTCAGTTGTGTGTAATCTGGTGTTGGATTTTACATTGCACAGAGGTTCATGTATGTAAAAGGTGTATTCACATAGCCAACCTAAGGCTAAAGATGAATTTGTGTTGCAGGCATGGGATTTGACATCTTTCTTCATAAAAGGATTGCCACAAGTATAGATTTTTTTTTTAAACCTAGTCATAGCTAATGCAATAGCATTTATATTTGACAGTTCATCAGAAGTCTGCCACTTCCATACAGTGTTTCATTAGAAGTAAGGCCTTCAGGAGGCCTGCAAAGATTTGTCCTGTGTTTTTGGAGGAAGACAAAAAAATATGTCCCTTTAAAGAGAAAAGCTTCCTTTTCATTTAGCCATCATTTTTGTCACAGTTTTTTTAGTCTCTTATTATCCCACCTGTTAGCAGTACAGATTCACATGACTTAGTTGATGCAAATCTATAATGTAATGGTTCATCACCAATGGATTCACAAAAGAAAAATGTACTTTTTCTCAAATCCTTGCAAAAATTGAATAGAAATTTTAAAGTGTCTAACAATTTACATCCTCATCATACATATGTTGGCGTCAACAAAGAAGCTTAGACGTTTCTTCATATCTACAGAGGCACATAGACACGTATGCATGTTGAAAATAAATAGCGAAATTGCAGTGCTGCTTCTGTTTTTTCAAATACTTACCTGCCCAAACTAGTAGTGTTTGCTTCATTTTGGGAGAACTCCTAGTTTCCTTTTTCAGCTGTGTATTTGCAGCTCTTGATTTCAGTCATGTATAAAGTTTGTTATGTGAATGTATACCCATATTACCTGACAGAAATTAGATATAGAAAATGGTATGGTTTGCTGCTGTCGTTGGAGGGTGTTGGAGAGATTATAAACCTGATGGATCAGAAAGGAAGGGAGGGAAACAAAATACCTTTACTGTTGTTTCTTTCAAGCTCTGAATTTTTTTGTTAACAAGAACAACTAGAAATGAGCGTCAAGCTATGAGTAACTATGGAAAAGTCCCTGTTAAGCAAATCTCCCCACCTCCCTCCATAATGTTCAGTATTCAGACTACATCAGCAAACCACATATATGGTAATATTCGTATTTTTTATATGGAGCTTCTCAAAAACCTCAGACAACTGTAGAATACTAAAGCAAGTGATTATCAGTTTTCTTTCCCCTAAAATTAATATTTTCCTACAAAGTGCACCTGAGTGAGCCCATTATTCTTGATATTATAGAAGGTGACAATTGAAAGCAAATTGTATTGGCAGACCGTTATTGAACAAAATTGCTCAACAAGAACCATCAAGGAGCAATTATGCATATTGAAACTCAACTATAATTTTATGGTACTCCGATAATGAGAAAAGTAACCATTAATTTTTTATTTTTTTTTTTCAGTTAATGTGTTTTTCCCTACTCTGGATTTCAGTACCTAAAAGTGGCTGTGTTTTTTTGTTGAACCAAAATTGCTAAACCTTTCTTGCTGACTAACAAATTGATTATTTTACTGCATTCCCTAGAATATCTGGGCCAAATAGCTCTTCTAGTTTATTCTTTCCAGCATCAGTGCTATTTCACTGGCATGTCTAGCCTATAAACCCTATACATAATGGCATGCATTTTCTGAGTACAGATGCTCAAGCTGAGAATGTATGTGGACTTCACCATTAGGCAGGCAAAGAGTACTTCACAGCCAAAATATGGATGA